AAATGCTTGCCTGAGCATTTTCAGTTAATTTTTTTTTGAATTTTTGGTGCAAGACTTATGTTACGACATAAGAATGGAATTTTGTTGCACAGCACTTTGTAGAGGGCCAAAGAGTATGATGACAACTGGCATTATTTCCATAGAACTTTTTTTCATTAAGAAAAAAAGCGAAATCAATGAGATAACCTAATATTATAGATTGCCGGCTCAATGGTTTTTCCGGAAGGATACAGCAGAAATTTTTCCGAATAGAAGCGAGCCGTGTCAGCCAAATCCTCAAAAAAGGACGTTTAACCCATGAATTTCCTTTTTCCAAAAGCCATTTAGAAAAATCTTTCACAATTTATTTTGGTTGATTACAAGTCAAAACGATCAGTTGTTCAATTTTATAACTTTTCATAACTCTAGTCCACTTGCACTTAGGAGATATCAAGAATCGTTCTCAAGATTTAGTCGTGGCTCATTTGTCCGTCTAACTTGACCTTCTACCCTATCATACCTGCGTATCTCACGACAGATCGCCAAAGATTAATCGGGTGGTCGGTGGGTGATCAAATGGATATCAATATGGTACCTAATGATGTAAGAATATCAGCCATTCTTACAATTATTGTCAGAGGAGAAACCCGTCTTTTATGCACTGAAGGAATCAAAGTGCACCTGGAATGTCTCTCCTTCGAAAAAAAAAAGCAAAAAGATTGTTTTTTCCACGAGCAGGTTGGTCCGCAAAAGTCTATAGAACCGTGTGATCGCTAATAACTCTTTTGTCCTGAATAGTTTCCGCTGTCCGCTTCATTTTAGATTGAAATTGGAGGAATGGTCACCGATCCCTTTTCGTTGCTGTAAGATTACTGTGAAAAGCCGTAGACTTTTTTCTTGGGCATATGTTCCCCGAAAACGCAAGCTCTACAAGATGTTATGCAAAAGCTTGTACCAGATTTGTTTCACCGTAAGGTTGCATCCAAAGTCTGAGTCGTTCTGAAGGTTTAAGAAATAGGGAAAAATTCGTGTCTTCGTTCAAAAAAAATCCTACGGATCTCCAATTTACTCAGTAAAATTGCGCACCACATCAGATACTCATGTGTAAAGTTCCTCTATTTTTTCTCCTAATCTAGGAATAGAGAAAACGAATTTTTTATGCTTGTATAAAAACGGAGCTGTGCTGTTTCCAACCCTGTAATTGATACCAGGCCATTAGAAATATAACCGTGAATTTTCGCTTTCCACAAGCCCAAGTTTTCGCGATTGATTCTAGCAAGGAACATCCGAGCGAGCAGAGCCTATGGAAAACCGAAAATTTACGGTTATACTGCTAAGCTTGTACAATACAACTACGTGGGTGGAAACAGCGTAGTCGTTTTTATAAGCATGAAAATTTATGTTTTCTCGATTTTCAGATGGGAAAAAATACAGGGACATATTAGGTTGTCCGGAAACTAATGCCCGTTTTGAATTTCAACCGCAATAAGTCATACACTTTTCATTCCTGAATAGCTTTCAAGGTACCATTTGATAGAGCAAAGCAAGCTCTACAAAATGGCCTTCTTGCTTTAACAAGAGCTCTGATCCACCTCGAGTTTCGAGTCAAAAACTAAAAAGATTCAACTACCCGAAAAATCGAAAAAAATCATAACTCAGTTCATAAGAATCCTGCAAAAGTTCTAACTTGCTCACGTAAACACTATCCTCATAAGACATACATGTGCGCTATTGCCGTATTTTTCCTCTGTTAGAAGTCGAAAAAACGAAAATATTCATGCTTTTGCCAAAGTGATGTTGTGTCGTCCCCACATAAGTAGTGTGTACTACAAATCTGTAGAAGTACAAACGTAAATTTCCAGCTCTCTACAAGCTTTAGTTCTCGAGAAATATCGAATATAGCTTTCATTAGTCAGGTGGTACAAACTAAAATTCAAATTTCTTGAGAAGTGAAGCTTGTAAAAAGCTGAAAATCCACGTTTTTACTTCTACAGATTTGTAGTATACATCTACTTATGTGGAGACGAAACAGCATCACTTTTGCAAAAGTATGAAAATTTTCGTTTTTTTCGATTTCTAACAGAGGAAAAAATACGGCAATAGCGTACATATATGTCTTATGTGGATAGTGTTTACGTGAGTAAGTTAGAATTTTTGTAGAATTCTTACGAACTGAATTATGATTTTTCTTGATTTTTCGGGCAATTGAATCTTTTTAGTTTTTGGCTCGAAACTCGAGGTGGATCAAAGCTATTGTTAAAGCAAGATAGCCATCTTGTAGAGCTTGCTTTGCCCTATCGAATGTTCCTTGAAAGCTATTCAGGAATGAAAACTGTATGACTTGTTGCGGTTGAAATTCAAAACGGACATTAATTTCCGGACAACCTAATACATATGAGTGTCTGATGTGAGGTGCAATTTGTGTAAGCAAGTTGGACATCCGTAGGAATTTTTGAACCAAGTTATGACTCATTCTCTTTTTTGAGCCTTCAGTACGAATCAGATTCTGGCTCTAATATGTGCAAACAACACAGAATAGCTTTTTCTCGGTGTCTAGAATACAACAAAATGCAGCAACCTCACATATGGATGTCTTGTGTGAAGTGTATATACATGAGCGAGTGGATATCCGGAAAGTTTGTTTCGGAAATATACATCTTCTTCTATTTCCGGACATGTGAAACTTTTTAGATTTCAGCCTCTAACTCAGTCTGTAACAAAGATGGTGCAAACTTTCACATGCCATCTTATAGAGCTTGCTTTGCTCTATCAAATGGTAGCCGCCTTCTGAATCCTTAAGAAGTGTATGACATTTTGCGCTGAAAACTTAAAATTGAAAACTTATGAGCCAACCTAATAGTGGTCATGATATTTAGCATCGTGATGGAACAGCAGTCAAGTTGGTTGCTTGCAACGAATTTACTTTACTAGTCGTTATGATAACCGTAACCTTTGATTATTTTCTGGAATCACAAAGTGAGATGAAATATTTATGTGTCTTGATAACTGGTACTAAGTCAGATGTTGCGTTGATTTTGGCGTAATTTGATGTAGATGCCAAACAAATTTCTAAGATTATAAACTTAAAATTTGTTCATATACTATGAGTTCATTTTTGTGTACAGAAAATATTTAGAGGCCTCATGTTTTCATCGTATCTATCAGAAATGAGCATATTTCGCAAATGTATAATTTGTTCAACAAAATCACCAAATAGGTGCAAGTGCGTGCAATTCTCAAATTTTCTGCGCAAACAATAGCTTTTCTGTATGAATAAAAACACCATAAGTAAAGTGTAAATTTCTTTTTACTTAGAGTTGAAAACTATCTGTTTTATTGTACGTTTCGGTTATTACTCTGCTATCGTTATGTGATGTTTGAGTCGAAATGGTTACGACTAAATTTATCTTTGTGTGTAGCTTCTAAACTTAAAATAAAGGATAAAGGATTCGCAGTCTTCAATACCCTCTGAGGGCATGCGCCGAACGCACACACTAACTTCATAGTCGAAGAGGCAATTGTATGCGTGCGAGCCTATTACAATGACTTGCGGGGCCCAGCCGTTTCCAAGTCAGTGCTTTTATCCTCCCAGATTACTCTGGTACCAATTTACCGGTACCCGGAGGGTAGAGGGCTTGGTTGGCCCAGGGCGGGGATCGACCCTGTGTCCGATCTGGTCATAGCGGCGCCTCATACCACTACGCCACTGGTCCCCGCTTCCAAACTTAGTTTGTTATAAAATACTTTTTTGATTGTAATGCGAATTTGAGTTTCTGTGCTGTCATGTTTGTCTAATATATGTCCATATATCGAAATGCGAGAAGGTGCTTGTTGTCATGGAGTCTGTGAATCAGCTATCTGTATTTAACTAAGTTGAAGCGAACCCTACACTATGCATTTAGGGATCGAAAAAGCTTTTAGATTTAGACAAAAGAGTTATTAGCAATCAAACTCCGACACATTTCTGTTCATTGAATGTCTTTGGCAGTCACAATTGAGTGAATTGATACTTGAGTAGACATGCTACAGAGATATACTTGAATCTGTAATCTATAAATATGCTTTATTCCATTTTTTCAGCATAATAACTTTCAGCGGCTCCGGGTCTGCATGTTCAGCGCTACCGTAAACCCGAAAAAGGCAAAAGCATGTCCTTTCAAGTCGAACAGAGAAGCTGTGTTGTTGTTCTTGAATAATATTGTCTCTTTGTATTATATGAGGGGAAACTAATTACCCTTCTCCGCCCGCACTGTCAAAACACTATGGACATCGTTCCTATTCCTTACAAACCTTTCCCTATGCCCAATTCTACATGCCATTTCCCTTTTACTGTTTGGTTCCATGCTCATTTTCCCTTGTGCCATACTCGAACTTTGCAAGAATTAATGAAATTGTTAAACGCAATGGATAACTTCGATGGATAATTCCAAAAAGGTCAGAAGACGTTCATGTTTACATTGTGATAACCATGATGAAATCATCACATCATGTGGTTCGACTAAGTTACTACCATTCATGATCTCTTCAAAAGAATTTTAGCACCACGCAAAATCATGCAAATAAACAAGAAGTTATATTCTTTGAAAATGATGTCAACGAACTTTTAATTCAACCTAATTAACACACATTATAGACGCTTATTACGAAGTATTAGTTTATACTCACAGATGATGTCAAATTGCGGCTATTTAACTTTGTCTTTTTGAACACATCAAAGTTTGGTCATGAGGAAACTTCTATTAGCAAATCGAAAAGGTACTGCACCGTGGAAATTCTTGATACTGAAACCTTGAGTACGATGTCTTTTTCGGTTGCATGGAATACATTATAATCATGTGGATATACGTCTACAGACTATTCTCATCAAGCCATGTGATAAAGCGAATAAGGAAGTTGTAACATTTGAAGCAAACAGCTTGATTCTCGAAACCTCGCTTGAAATTACAGCATAAGAAAGAGAAATGGATTGATGATGACGTGCACTCACAGGCATCGAGAACACCAATATTTTAATGGATTGTAAATGAGATAATAAAAGCTAATGAATGAAACGTAATAAATGTTCGAGCTTTGGAAGGGGACCATCTGCTGTGCAGTCAATGATCTTACTGAGCATCGTCGCCAATTCGGTCCTTTTCCCTTCATATCTATTTTCCTCTTGTTCAAATTGTGCTACGTGTAGTGCATCAATCTTCACCTAAGAAATATGTTAGTTCATTACAATCACAGCTGATGTTGTTTTCCCCATACCAGTCCCACCAATAAATATTCCTTTATACCCTTTCTTTCGTGAACGTCCATTTTTACTATAATATCGTCGCTGGCCTGGAACATTTTTGCAATGGAAAGACGAAGAATGGATCTTTATCTCCCATTTGTGGTTGAAACATTCAATATCTTTGCATGAGATGCGGAAGTCGAGCTGCTAACTATCTGAATGTTGCCAGGTGTTTGCCTCAGAACGTTGTGCAATAATGTGTGCAATGGCTTGGAGTAGTGAGAAAAGATGTATATTTGCACACTAACTTCAGTGGAAAAATCTGATGTGGCTTTCAAGAAATATCATGAAACGCCCGCTTTAACATGCACAGATTAGTTCGCTCAAAATCTTCGCATCGCATCTTAGTTGCGAATCAAATGACCCTCTAAAGCTCAAAGCATACCTTAGGTTGGGCCAGACTACGCTGGGAGGGCGGTGTACGCGTTACGCAGCCTACGCTCGGTGTCATCATAGGAGCGCATGCGACATACGCTGCGTACGCCGCATACGCCGCTCAGTCTGGTCCAACCAGAGGTGCGATAGGGGGAGCCGGGTCCCCCAAAAGTGAAGGTGGTTTCAGCTACCACTGGCCGGCCAAAAGTGAAGGTGGTAGTGTCGGACACTCACCTCCCAAAAACGTCGACGGGGGGGGGGGGGAGGTGCGGGGGGAGGATAGAACGGACGAACGGAGCTATCTTTCTAGGTCTAACGTCGACCCAACGGCCCTCTTTAGGGCCACAGATACGATGAATATTAAAAATATCTATAAATTTTATTTAAAAAAATCTAAAATAGAAGTGTTTAGTAAATGGTGTATTTGGAAGTAGAAGTTTGTTGGACTGTACGGATTTTATTAAGCAAATTTTGTTATAACGTACAGCGAAGAAAGTAGATCGATCCAGGCAGTAACGGCCGAGAATCAGAATTTCGAATAAATAAATAGTGAAAAATCATGCAAAATTTCCACTGTTATAAATCTGTTGTTTGAAGATGTCAGCAGTTGCGACTTCATAGGTTTTAAAGAGTAAATGTTGCTCTATCAGCTAGTGAAGGAATCTGGTCGATTTAAGAGATAGTCGTTGAAAACCAGAGTTCTAAAACTTTACGCCATTTTTGCGTGTTTTTTGACTGTTGAGAGTTAAACTCTTATAAATTTTGAATGTGGAAGTGTATGATGTTGCGACTTCATAGGTTTTATAGAGTAAGGTTTGCCTTATCAGAATATGTCTTGTCCGTTCCGATCCATTGAAACACCTCCGAGATCCAGAGTCATGAAAAAGCAGGTAAAAAAGAGCTTTTTGAACTTCAACAGCTCATAACTTCTTCAGGATTGCACGAATCATGTTGCGACTTCATAGGTTAGATTCTTCTCGTCAAGAGCTTTCAGATGATATATAATATGTGGGGGTTTCGCGCCTCTTACGGCATATGCCCGGGGGGGGGGAGACTTTTTAGGCCAAAGTCTCCCCCGGCAGCCTCCAGCCAATACATTAAAATGGGCGAGGGGGAGACTTTGGCCTAAAAAGTCTCCCCCCCCCCCCGGTCATAATTCGCAGGAGGCTCTAAACCCCCACATATTATATATCATCTGAAAGCTCTTGACGGGAAGAATCTAACCTATGAAGTCGCAACATGATTCGTGCAATCCTGAAGAAGTTATGAGCTGTTGAAGTTCAAAAAGCTCTTTTTTACCTGCTTTTTCATGACTCTGGATCTCGGAGGTGTTTCAATGGATCGGAACGGACAAGACATATTCTGATAAGGCAAACCTTACTCTATAAAACCTATGAAGTCGCAAAATCATACACTTCCACATTCAAGATTTATAAGAGTTTAACTCTCAACAGTCAAAAAACACGCAAAAATGGCGTAAAGTTTTAGAACTCTGGTTTTCAACGACTATCTCTTAAATCGACCCGACTCCTTCACTAGCTGATAGAGCAACATCTACTCTTCAAAACCTATGAAGTCGCAACTGCTGACATCTTCAAACAACAGATTTATAACAGTGGAAATTTCGCATGATTTTTCACTATTTAAATATTCAAAATTCTGGTTCTCCGCCGTTACTGCCTGGATCGACCTACTTCCTTCGCTATACGTTATAACATAATTTGCTTAATAAAATCCGTACAGTTTTGCTAAGCTTTACTTCCAAATACACCATTTACTAAAAACCTTTATTTTAAATATATATGCCGCCGTATACATAAATATATGCTTTCAATAATCTTTTTTGCGTTTGTTTTGCTTATTTTCCTTCTTTGTCGTCCAGCGAAAAATTTTTTATTCCAAAAGTGAAGGTGGTCACCCCGTACCAGCTCAAAAGTGAAGGTAGGGGGAGACTTGGCTCCCCCTATCGCACCTCTGGGTCCAACCCTTACGCAGTCCTAACCTCTGCTCAGCGCATGATTGTTCATAATTAGTCTTAAGCGCACTTTGCTTGGACAAGACCCATGCAATCGCCAGCTCACAGACCTAAGCGCCTATGCATATGAAATTGTTTAACTAGCAAAGTGCCAAATTTCAACAAATTGTGTCGATGTAGCGATTGAGGACGCTGGTGCCCTCTATTTAATTGGGAGTGTTGAGTGATGGGTGGGGCTCTAAGCTCTGCATCTCTCTCGCAAGCGTGCTCTCTAGTTATTTTCTAGGCTTAACTAGCTATCGAAGTTCCGCATTCCATTCGTCAATCTCAGTTGAACAGAACATATTTATGGGGCGATATCGCAGTTCAAGTGACTGTCAGTAAATAAGAGAACCCCGACTATAGAATCTACAGTATGTTTGGAGGCAAAACTGCGAAGAAACTTACGTTTTGCACCTTTATGCATCATTTTCCGAAGGCTGTACGCCAGTAGAAGCAGGCATTTTAATGTGAGAGTCTAAGCTTCAGGCGCTTTGAGTGTCACGGCCGCCTCGCTTAGATCTTGAGATATCCTCAGTGCATTTTTTCATACTGAGGATGGATTAAGGGCCTGCGAGAGCAGGAAAATGGTGCTACAAAGGATACGTTCGCGAGTGCGGCGCAAAGCCGAGAGAGCCAACCCGAGCCGCTGCTTTGACCCTCACATTATGACAGCCTGTACGCAGCGGCAAACAACTCAGTGACGTCTGTGCTCATAATTTGCACTCAAAAACTTGATTCCTCCAGCTTTAGGATGGTTTCAAATTGCTTCAAATAAATTTCGCTGCGCCCTTCGCGCAAAATGTTCTCATATTCTCGATAAATTGGAAAACTGTACCAGTTTTATACTGAAAAAGTCTTCGGCACGCTTTACAATGTCTTCCGGAATCTCACTGACAAATCCTTCACTAAAACCACTAGAGTCGTAGTGGCATGCTGCAGCAGTGATACATAGACACATTTCGATAGTCAATAGTGCTGCACCATGCATCTGCAAATTCAATTGAAAAACTGGCTAATTCTGGCAGAGTGGCAACGGACCAATGATGAATCACGCAAACCACTTCAGTGGCATATAAGACTAGAATGAACTTTACAATATTATCGTCAAGCATAACAATTATGTTTGAGTATCCTACTATAATAACGCGCTAAGGCCGTCTGTTTATTTTGTGTGTCTGTGTGTCTGTGTGAAAATTTGTCTGTCACGAAATGGAGGAAGCTGCAACTAAGCTATCGGGCTGCAATTTTGCATAACATACCGTGCCAGCGTGTAGGCCCACCATGCACAAGAACGAGCCGGTTCGATAAGCGACCCCCTCAAAATTTGCGCGTCAAGCGGGTCCACGCGCCTTTTGGCACGCAAAACTGGTTCGCTAATTCGACTTTTTGCAAAGTCATGATTTCCCTGACAAGTAAATTTGCATGCCATGAATTTTAACCCAAAATATGTTCAAAAGTTTGCTTTCTTGCGAAAACAGCGCCAGAAAGTGATGAACGCATAGATAGTCGATTTGGCAAGGTTTAATTTGAAAAAAACTGAAAAGATTTTTGCACTGAAATGTAGCCCAAGGTGACTATTATCCTTATGACGATTATCAAACTAAAGCAAAGTCAGAAATCCGTTCAAATTCGTGTTTGTTTCCTTGCAACAAAGTTTTTTTTTCTCAGAATTACCGATCTTACATGGAGATGCTTCATGAATATGAACAGTTGTTTACAATTCATTTGTGATGCTCACAAGGGAATGGTCAGAAATCGAAGTGGCCACTCCACACAAGCTGCGTAGCGTTAGATGCAGCATAAGCGCTGGCTCTAAATCTGTCTTCTTTATTTGCTTATCGCTTTTCTGGACGAAGGTATAAGCCATCAAAGACCATTATTTTGCTCAGAAATTATGCGTGAAATTAATTTAGCCGTACAGAGCCTCGTTCGCCTCAATGCTGGGCCAAAACATGCAGCTAGCTTACCTAAAATTTTTGAAGCCAGAAGCCGAACCAAAAGTGCAACAATGTGCTCAATTTCGCTGTATTTATGTATGATTTTTTCACAATAGAACCGCTTGTAGCTTCGTTCACAGAAGCGGGAAGCAGATAAGGAAGACAGACCCGAAGTCAGTGTTCTATACTGCATCGAATGATATACAGCTTGTTTGGTTTGGCCACTTCGACTTCTGACCATTCCCTTGCCAGCATCGTGTGATGAGTTTCAAAGCCATTCTCATGCGAACACGAGAAAGGCATACGGATAGGAAGCCAGTGCGAACCTCCGCGAAGCGGAGGGGACGAATTGGTGATTAATACTATGGTAGCGTATTTCCCCTTTTGGTCGTTCAGTAACAGTCATTTAATAAGTTTTCCGACACGATTAATCTGACTAACTATCACAACCGAAATACAAGAAGATCGGCATGCAGTGAACTCGTGACTGTTTGTCTTGTAGATCGATTGCGACAATGAAATCGCGTGAAGTCTGCATCTGCCCAAAGCCTAACTCGGAGTGAATGTTGATGATGCAAGTATAAGAGATAAAATCTTTACTATATCCTATCAACACAATAAATTTTTTTCGTAGCTCTTTTTTTGTGTGCTAAAAACAAGGTTTTTGTGTAAATTTTCAGAACAACATTTCTCGCTTAACCTCTTTTCAGACTACAAATGAGTTCCAGAAGTTCAGTAAGGTGGATCAATAAAAACGAGAATTTGCGCTTGAACGTTGCGCCGAAAGCCGCGCGTGAGTGCTGATTCATCTCGTTAATGAGTGATTTTCAAAGCTTCGAACGTTGTCATTGCTCCTGGTTATGTTATAACGATCACAATGATTTCTAATGTTGGGTTTCGTTAAGATCAGAACCAAATGCACCCTCGGCTCTGATGTTTCTCCCATACTCGTCTGCGTTTTCGTGGATTGCGCGCTATCTCGCTACCCCAAACGCGAAACACGATGGAATGGCTCTGGTGCCCTTTTTTTGCCGCCCCGAACGTATATCATATTAAAGCTCTTGATCTCTACGTTCACGCTGACAACGTCGCAAAACCCTATTTTTTGATTTAGACAAGTCTGGCGAAAACCGTATTTTTAAGGATCTCTTGTTTTTTCCCTAGTTTAACTCTTTTCACGCGGTTTTCATGCATTGATAGATTCTGCCTTTGTTCGTGATGTAGACAATGTCGCCGAGTCTACTTTCTCGAATGCTCCCGATTTTTCTGTGAAAGACTGTAAAACGAGCGTTTTCTTCACCTTGTTCACATTCATTGTCTTCGCAGCATTTATTTCCAACTTGGACGATACATTCACAAACGTCACAAGATACACGACCGACAGTGCGGGGGTGAAAATTCAAAGGATCAAAAATTCAAAGCATAAAAAACTAAATTGGCTTTGGCGTGCATTTCGATAGTAAGAATAAAACTCTGCATTTCCATATCTAATTCTTCTCTTTTTATCTTCTTCTTAATAACCACCACTAACAAAACGTGTTTGTTTTGAATTAATCGCAAAGAATAAATTTGCTTTCTTCCTCTCCCCCTCTGTCTTGTGGATCGACTGGTCCTGGAAAACCTATTTCAAATGCATTCCAGCGTTTTTATCCGGTTTTTTGAAAGTTTCTTTTGACTGCTTTATGCTATGCACATGTTCTTCTCTTCCCTGGTGTTTTATAAACAATATTCTATTTCTATTGCGGGGGGGGGGGGCAGATATTCAAATAATCTTCGCTGTGAGGCCCTATCTTCAAATATCAAGGTCTGTCGGAGAGTCATCAAGCCTGACAAGGAAAGCGTTTCCAGTCGAAGCGGCCTTTTCAACTGGAACCCATAACACTTTGAAGTATTGCACCTTGGCTCCAAATCTACCCTCGTTATCTTCCAAGCGCCTCTGGAGGCCGAGTTATGAATGTTTTTTGGAACGAAAAATGAACGCAGGATCTAGGTATAGGCTGTATCAGCCAGCATCAGTTCCGCGCCAGTATGACTTGCGACGACGCACCGTCGCGTGCGACATGCCTTAATTTGTAGCACAGTTCACGCGTCGCGCCGCACCGTCGCAAGTTGCCGCAGGCGCGACGTCGTTACAAGCTTTCCAGTGCTGTGATAAAGCATGTTTAGTATTAGCAATTAGTCAAAATGTATCCACACATTGCATATGTTCTGATACTCGACATTGGACCCAAGCAAGTTTTAGCGATTTTATTTTGCTTTTGCGTTAGATTTTTTGACCTAATAACGGTCATGACTGGGCGCCCATAGGCGCTTGGCAAATAGTGTGAAAGCAGATTTGGAATCACTGCCCAATGTCCTCCAAAGCAGTACGAATCTCATCTGAGAAGGTCACTTCGAATAAAAGAGCATCTCTGTAGACATTAGAATTGAAGAGCACTTTGAATGGCCTTAAAAAGTCAAATTTGTGTACTCTCTTGTGTACGCACCGCCAGCAATGCCATAAAGATCAATACTTTGATTCGAAAACTGTCTGGAATATTTTATAAAAGTTGCTTTTCTCTATCAAATAGTACTACGACTTAATGCGATTTTGACCCTAGTGCAGGCTGTTGCAATTTGAGATGCAATCAGCGAGCTTTCACCTCAGAAGAATGAGGGTCATTTAGTGAGTTAGATTTTTTCTGCGGATTCTTGCAACAAATCTGTGTAAGTAATAAATAAAACTGAATAAAATTAGCGAAATAGCTCAAGAACTCTTTATAAGGAACATTTTATTATACAAAATTGGTAGGCAGTATGCTCTATGCAAAGACGAGCAAGGTAATCAAAAGCAAAAAAATTGTCTTTGTTTGGATCCCTATGCATTTACTTGAAGGCTAGCCACGATTTGTGAACGTTAGTGTGATGACTTTCTGCGTCGGCTACGACTGCGCGTAATTGGAATGTCTTTTCTTTCAGAAGTAGATTCATTTTTCGGAGCTTCGATAATGAGCTGGCCGCGATCGTTAAGTTCACTATGCAGCTCCTCCACATTTACATCGTCAGGCAATGTCCATGAGCGTACAAAGGATCTGCTTTGCTCATGTAAGAAGACATCACAGGATAACAAGTAGCGATTTACCTAGCCATAAAACTATGTTCGTCTTTGCATTCCTGCTTGCCTTCAACAGTTACAACTCTTTCACGTAAATTCACCTTCAGCTCCTCGGGTTTAAATTGCGATACATCGATCGAAACGGCAAATTTCTCATCATCGTTAACAACCTCAACAAGAATGGCTAATTTAGGTTGAAGACTGTAAACCCACCTGATGCGCTTGGTTAGCATCTTCGAGTATACTACGTCCCACGTTCGGCCAATATGGAACAATTCCCCGGTCATCCCTTGTTCCCACGGCTCTCATATAGTCATCCATAATGCGGTCCATCAGTTGATGCATATGCCAGTATGACATCTTCTTCGATTTTGCTGCTTCAAGAAAAACTGATTTACTATGGGAAGTCGACAGCGTTGTCTCTTGATGCGTACCTTCCTCAAAAAGCACTAAGCTGCAAGGTTGTATGAGCACAAATGAACGTATGAATGTCTTTGCTCAGTATTATCCCCTTCATAAACATTCTTATCAATAGTGAGGTTGTACGCATTCAGGCTTTGACCATACATTACCCGTGTTACAGTGCTACTCGTATTACCCGTATCAGTGTTGCCCGTGTTACTCATGTCGCTCGTGTTACTAGTGTTATTAGTGTTACTCACGTTGATCCTGTTATTAGTATCACTCGTGTTACCGCTTTTATTACTGTTGAATAGTAAAATAACCACAATACATTCTCATTTTAGAACGCAGTATCACTGACTGGTGAGTGACAGAGTAACACTTAACACTGGTAACAGGGTAACACAAGTAACAAGAGTAACACTGTAACGCGGGTAACACGAGTAACACTAGTGACACGAATAATATGAGTAACTCTAGTAACAGATAATCTATGGTGAGCCCTCACAGCATGATTGTTGTAGTGGGCACATAAGTTGACTATAAGAGGAACCCACAGAACAGAGAAGGCCTTTTCTGCGATGATCTTCTTACCGTTAGCTGTCGAGGTCTGCAATTATTTTCGATCTATATGAAAGCCCTGGTAAGAAAACGGTCCTGTGCATTTTTTGTGGTCGTATCAATTCTTCGAGGGTTATTCTTAAGCACTTCCGCCATGAATGGCTTTATAATTGACCAGTGCTTCACCTCTGCTTCGCAGAGGCTCGCACTGGCCCTATTATCTGTATGCCTTACTCATTCTCGCACAATAATGACAGTGGAACTCACCGCGCTATGCAGACTATCACAAATGATTTGTAAACAACTATTCATTCCAAAAGCTTTTCCACATGAAGTCGGTAATTTCGCATGAACGAAGCTTTTCTCGAAAGAACAAATGCAAATTTGAATCGGTTTTTGGACTTTTCATGACTTGATATTCGCGATAAGATGCCATAATCACTGTGGGCTACATATCTGTGCAAAAATCTCCTCAAACGATCGGGTAAAATCTTGGTAAATTGCACATTTACGCAACCAATTCTTTTTGGCGCCGTTTTCGCAAAGTAACAAACTTTAGTTCAATTTTTTAGGCTAAAGACTATGGCTTGCACATAAACATGTCAAAAATATCCGTGAATTTGCAAAAAGTTGCGCTACAGATTCAATTTTACTGGCCAAAAGCCATGTGGATCCGGTTGACGCTCATTTTTTGAGGGATCCACATAGTGGATCTGCTCGTGCTTTTGTATAGTAGACTCTCATGTTGGTAGCAGGCGCTGTGCAAAATTTGGGCTCAGGAAGTTGGCTGGAACACGTTCTACGAATTTCGTGACAGACAGATTTTCACACAGACACACAGACAGACACACAAAAAAACAGACGGCCTTAGCGCGTTATTATAGTAGGATAACGGTGTATACACAGATGTAAAAAGCCGCATGCACTTCTAAGATGGCTGGCATGATCCCACATAAAACGGTATAGGCACCATTCCAAAAAGCTGGAGCTCGAGGATACGCGGTGAAGCTCATTTTGATCTGCTAATCATCAAGACGAAGGAAGATAGGAAGCGAACCCAAGAGAGTCGGAATCCAAAGAAGGATAAATTTTGCTACATGAGAGGTCAAGCCGATGGACTGGCTCCACCGGGGCGGAACCCGGGATGCACCTCGTATTTAGTATTCTGTTCCAAATATACATGCATGCTGATTGTGGTCTTATGCGCTGAACATCTTCAAAGTTATCTGCTTCCTGACAACTTTCAGGCAAACCTGGATACCTGTGTCTTTTATGTGAAGGTAGTTAAAAAGCATTCGCGAAATTCTTGCTAACTTCCGAATTCATTAGTGACCGAAAAAACGACTTCGATTCCAGTCCAGATCGTACTTTAAGTATTGCCCTCTCGAAAAGTTACGGTCTGGCTGGAGCCTAGAGCTACCGCCAGCGCACTGCTTGACTAAATCCTCCCAATCTGCCGTTGTTTTTCAAGATAAAGATGTACCCAAATTTACATTGTCATTGAAGAAGGGTACCAGCAAGAGGGATCAAATGCAAGACATCAATAATCAAAGACCCCTTTTGGTGCAAGCAGGAGGCATGAGGCAGACTCCATTGAGCGTTACACAATGATATGAATTTGTACATGCTCTACACAAGCTCAATCCGTTCTATTCTGACTTTTTGAAAGCCGGACTTGCTCTGCTTGATGGATGTGTTCTTCTCTTTTCTGTTTATTTTCTAAATATTATCGTTGCTTGTTCCGATTATGGCACGCCTTGTGCGCAAATATAAATAAGATAAATAAATGGTTTAGAGGTAATGGAAGCAAACATGCGTCTCACAGTAGCTCAAACAGATTTTTTCATTACTAACAAGGAAAGGATACCAACTTAGATTCGCTTTTTGAGATGGGACACATACGTTTGGAATCAGCTTTGACCGCTGATTCCAAGTATGCTTTTCTTAGCTGCTTAACGTTATTCCGAGGCGACTTATGGGCTTGCTGTTGTGAGTAACTAACAAATTTCTTAATGTCGTAAGACGGCGTATAGATAAGAATCTGCTTGAAAAAATTGCTAGGATGTTAAACTAGCATCAAATTAATTCACTCAATCTTGAAAGCGGGCACTATACAATTGCAAAACCACCTAGACGTCGGCACCGTAGCATCAGTAGGTCGAGAAGCGCGAACTTTGCATAGAAAAGAGACCATAACTTGAGGATAATGCTAACAAGGGAACCGTGTCGAGTCGAAGTGGCCTTTCCAGATGAGACCCAAAATGCTTTGAAGAGTATTAAGCGGTGATTCCAAATCTGCCTTTCAAATCTGCCAAGCGCCTCTAGACGCCGAGTTATGACCGTTCTTCGGAACGAAAAATGAATGCAGAATTTAGGTAAAATTGATTGTTACAATCTTTCCAGTGCTCAGATAAAGCAATATTAAGTATTAGCACAATAAATAAAATGTATCCATTGCATAAACAGCTCTGATACTTGACACTGGAGCATTCAAGCAAATTTGGGCGATTTTGCTTCAGTTTTGGTTCAATTTTTTGACCTGAAAAACGAGCATAACTCGGCGTCCAGAGGCGCTTGGCAGATTTGGAAAGCAGATTTGGAATCACCGATTAATGTTCTTCAAAGCAGTATGGGTCCCATTTGGGAAGGCCACTTCGACTCGACACGGTTCCCTAGTAAGCAGCTATGAACAGCATATTTGGAATCAGCATTCCAAGCTGATTCCAAATGTATGTGTCTCATCTCAAAAGGCTGATCTAAGTTAGTATCCTCCCCTTGTAAGTTCTACAATGTTTCGGATGTAGCACTGGCTTGCGATCGAACTGTTTATGATCATGATGAAGATAAACCTACTTTACATGTAGAAATAAGTGAGTAGAAAACATCGTAACAAATAATGCAATATATGTACACAAAATAGCAAACATAGGTAGAAGTAATTCCTCCTGTATCTTATTTCGGTGCAGGCATGATTGGTATGTTGCGCCTTGTCGGTGAACTTGTTTTCGGCGCCTCAACGCTGAGGTGACCTCTGTCACTAAGCTCAGTCCGAACTGCTTCTAGGTTTACACTTTCTGGAAGCGTCCATTTTCGAATGAAGGACCTGAAAATACTGAGTTCAACTAAATCAAAAAGGAGAAAATGCTTTACCTCTGCAAGTAACTGTTATCGCCCCTGTGCTCTTGCTTCCCTTCCACAGTAAGTTCTCGTCCATCCAAATGCACATTTAACTCCTCAGGACGAAACTGTGAGACATCGAGGGATACAGCGAACCTTGTGTCATCGTCGACTACCTGAAATGGAAATACTTTCACGTATCCCAGCGGAAACCGTTAAGATAATACCTGCTGGGTTTCGTTCGCAACATGTAGTACTGAATGATCAGCTTCTCTCCAATATGGATAAATTGGACGATCAAACCGATCAAACTCTCTCAACATTTCGTTCATCATGCGATTCATAATTCGTGGCGCACGCCAGAGATCCATTTTGCCTGCTCAATAACAGAAAAAATTTGTATATGATCAACACGAGGTAACAAGACCATGTAAGGGGCGTACTTATAGTTAGTTAAAATCAAAAAAAAGAACAGGGCGTTAAGTAGGCCAGGAAAGAGCATAGTATAAGAATTACAAACAGCTAAGCCTTCCTCTTGAAATTTTGCTTATGCTTACTGAGCAGCACACTCGAATTCTCGTATTTTAAAGGTTCAACTACAGAAGATGTGGCAGTATAAGAAAAAGAAAAACTGCAGAAAAAGTACCTTATACCTCGCTCTTTCAACACCAAAGCCCTATAATCTTTGAAGTGGATCTTTCTACATAGTTTATCTCTAAACAGAACCTCTACCAGAACATGTAAAGTGATCGTCAAGAATGAAATCTCTATTGCTAAAGACATGGCACAAGCTTACGAATATTGTGAATGCCACATCTTCTGTATTCTTGTAATAAGCTTGTCTGATTCACAGTTTTGATCTCATGAAAAAAAACTCAGGTTCAAAGTTTTTAGCTTATAGAGCCTAAAAAAGAATTTTTTTATACAGTTGAACATTTACCTAAAGTATAGATTACAATCTCCCACCCTGTCACCATGCCCAGTGTATTGCTCGAAAAATTCCTAAATCTTCATGTCGGCGAAAAAATAGGCCTTTGCAAAATAATCGGCTTATTTTACGCCCAGCAATTCTGTAGCATATATTCCTGTCAGTCTAGCGCAAAAAAGCGTCTTTGAGCGCTTTGACCTGTCATTGTCCGATAGTCGCAATGATAAGAGATTTTTCTTGAGCAACATGCTAAACTTTTGTCAATAAAATAACAATATACGATCACACTCAAATGTAGACCATTGCAGTAAAACAAAACAAAATGCCAGTAGTCTTATCTCGTCCCATTTCTCCAATTATAAAGTGGTCTTTACTTGATAAGGTGAAACCTAAAAATTTGTCCAACTCAAAAATTTATTCAAAAAGAATCTATCTTCTTTTTTTTTATTAAAAAAAACCGATACATTAGCAATTTTTGGAGTCATTTCAACTAAGTGCAGATTAGAGAATGAAAAATACAGTCATTGAATTGATGAATGCGATAGCATTTACATGAAGATCGTAATCACATATTTGGCAGCTGTGGCAGCCCAGTTAATTATTTTGCAGGAATCATCAAATCTTTAGGGTTAGGGGCTAAGTTGCCATGCCCGTGCTGTCTGACACAAACTTTTTTACTTCGCAAATTGGATGATGAATGGATCATGTGGCTCACTCTAGTGCATTCATGTTCAGTATCAAAGCGGAGAACGCACACTCTACAAAAAAGAAACACGAAGTTTAGGATTTTATTTTGGAAATTCCATCATCAACTTGGAAACTTTTTCGGGCTACATAATTGCGATGTTCTATTCCCAAAATAAAATCCTAAACTTTGATCATTTTATTTGTGAAGTGTTCGCGTTCTGCGCTTTGATACTGAAACTGAATGCACGAGAGTGAGTCACATGATTGCATTCATCATCCAGTTTGCGAGAAAGAAAAGTTTGTGTTCGACATCATGGGCTTGGCAACACAATTATGATTCTTGCCATCAATTTAATGATTTTTAACGCTTGAAGTGAAATTATATTCACAGGAGTGGGCTGCCACAGGGATGCAAATGCATACAATTCAACGACTTTTGTATTTATTTTGAATATTTAAAATTCTCCAAAGAAAATAAAATTTCCTTTTCGCTTACACCTACATGCGGACATTATTCTATAGAAAACATTTCCTTTTTTTTCTATTATGCGTAGAGAAACCTAGAAAATGCGAAAATTTTTGTTATGACACGTTCGTACGCATTTGGCCCATAAGCTCGTTTTGAAAATGTTTGAAAATAGTTTAATTTGTGCCATCTATTTTTTATTAACACATAAAAAAATGTTCATCTTACCACGCTTGTTTGAGCCTTCAAAAAAAAAAAGAAAATTCGAAATTTTGATTGGAGGATTCGAAAATTGTACCTATTCGCTTTATCCGACCAGCACGAATTTTAATTGAGAAAACTAAGTCACAGAACCACAAATGAGCACGAAATTGAATTTTGTGAGGCGTTTTAGCATTTAGAAGAAACAAAATTCTAAACAAACTATTTGACTTTTCTGTTTGTGCTTGTATCTCTGCGATATGTTGGTAATATTGATTTTTGCTTGGTTGACTTTTGCAAAAGTGCATGATTTTCCCTTTCTGAGCCATGTCAATCAAATGGATTCGCTGAAATCAGAAACTACAAAGATTTAGAATTTGGTGCAATTTATAAAACAATTTGGTAGAAAGCAACAGTAAGTAATTTCAAGAAAGGTTTCAAACTAAATTTTTGTTAGAAACACATGAAAAATTACGAATTTCCTCCTCAGAATAGAAGCAAGCGATGTATGATATATGCTAAGATGTGGAGAAAGTGATTTTAAAGCATCAAAGTCCGAAAAAAGCAAATCAAAACGACATGGTGCATGCCGAGACAAACACGTCTGCAAAAGTGCATTCGACGTGTACTTATAGATGTCGAGAATGTTCGCGAACGACGCTGCCTCGCTGAGCTCTTCTAGACCTTTCGCGAAAATTTGCCCGAAAAGTAAGCAATGGCGATTGCACTGTGAATCATTTCGTACAGCAGTAAAACCACTTGATTTTCGCAGATTTCCTCGCGAATGTTCTACCAAATAGCTTGCCTCTGTAATTAGACGGCAAGAGAAATCGATACAGACGAACACTTTTGGTTCCTATGTCATTCAATGCAGGGCGTTAGAGTTTAGGAGCACTGTTCTAACAAGGGAAGGATGGTCAGTTGAAGTGGCCTTTTGCGATGATTTGTACACCGCATTGAAGGGCATAAATTGCTGATTCCAAATCTGTCCTTCATATCTGCAGAGCATTCTTCAACAAGGAGTTATGAGCGTTTAAGGAGCAAAAAATGAATTTTTTCCGGGATAAAAACAGTTGCTAAAACTCCCCCAGCGCATGAATGAGACATACGGAGTGCGGATATATCTCACCTAAAAGTATTTACTTTTTAGAGTGCTGGAAGGATTACCACTAGTCCGTTTAAGCGCTAGGAAGAATGTAACTATGTTTTTTTTATTATTTGCACATTCAAGTTTTTTCTCCAATAAATGCTCAAGGAACGCAGGAACGCGCCGCAGATAAGGAAGACGTATTTGAGATCAGCGTTTTATGCCCTCTAATTTGGTATACAACTCATCTCAAAAGGCCACTACGACCAACCATCCTTCCTTGTAAGTGTCTTTGATAGGAGGCTCATGTATAACTGTCGATCTTACAGACTAGCTTCCTTTGTTGTGTTAAAATATCACAATGCCGGACTAAATCACCCATTATGGCCAAATAAACGGAAGATTCGGGAAGTTTTGCATCAATCAAACGACTATAACTAGGTCGGAGACTGATGTATGTTTGAAAAACTGATTTTTTTTAAACTTTGGTATTACACAATACCTACCTTGATCAGTGGAGGACGCGCAAAAGGAAACAAAGTCCTAGCCGCTTGTGTCCGAGACAGTTGGCGGCGCAAGCACTGCGTACGAGTCTTGGCCAGGTTCCAGAGAGATTTGGCAAAGAAACCCAGGAGGAGTTCTAAGAAAGTAATTGCTAGTACTTCGCTTGGAAAAACACTCGAGAAATAAATGAGGCACTTTTGTAACCTGCATTCAATGGCGCATTTATTGAGGAATGAAAGTTGAAAATCTAGTTTTCAATCAAAATAATCTCACACTTGTTATCCACATCGCACACGTTAGCTACGGCGAAACACTTATCAATCTTTCAGAATTTCACCAAAAGTTTATTATTGTCAAGCTCAGACAATCGATCGGACCCCTCCGGCGGACAGTCGAAATCTGCCAGAGTCGCGGCGGACCCAGTTGACCAATGAGAGCGGGGCGAGGGGGCGGTCCCTTCTTGTAGGTCGCGGTGACGTCACCGGCAGGCGTGGGACCCTTCTCCGGATCTGCTGCAAAGGTACGCCATTTCTGCTCCGGAGGTACGCCAGATTTGGCAGAGCCGCGGCGGAGAGATTTGCCCGGCGCGAGTCCGCCAGATTCGGACGAGCCGCGGAGAAGAAAATCGGAGGGGTCCGGAGCACAAAATGGGAGGGCTCCGGAGCAGAAATGGGAGGTCTCCGGCGCACAAAATCGGAGGGCTCCGAAGCACGAGTGGCAGACACCCCGCTGGGGAAACCCCGCGGCTCTGCCATTTCTGCGCCGGAGGGGTCCGTTCCATTGTCTGAGAGAAACCGAAACAAGTTGTCATGGTCGTTAAAAAAAGAGCAGGATGATTTGTAATTTCAAAACAGTATTGTCGCAAACAAATTGAAATGCAATAGTACTTCGCAAAATGGAGGAAAACGGGTGATCATACGATGTTCAAATTTCCATAAAATTAAAAATTTTTGTGTACGATTTCACATTCCATTTTTGAGGCATTTTGAACACATTTCGACAAATTCCGAATCTATACGAAATCTTATGATACAAATCGATGCTGTCTCAATTTTCGATAGCTGCCATTTTTTCCACCGTATCATCAAATAGAATTTCAGTGATTCCGAGACTATTGAATATTGAGTCCGATTTATTCAAATTGCTAAAAACATTTTTTACTTGTTTGATAAATTGTTCGATAGTCACATCATGAGAAGAACAGACGACAGATGGACATTAAGAACATTGGAGTGGATGCTTCCGAAGCCAAACGTCCCCGAGGAAAACCTCCAACGAGATGGGCAAACTGTTCTTGGAACGGATAGACCAGCTGAAAAATCAACTGGATACGGTTTTCGTCCCTGAAACTCGTGGAGGCAGCCACCGACATCAACCAAAAAGATCGTGGACGTCTGAAGCGAGGAATAAGAAAAAATGGAAACTTCTGCGCTCGTGCTCGTACCTCGCGCAAATGGGCCATTTAAGTATCTTAGTAAGTAAGTTTTTGGCTTTCTAAAGTGGCACTATCGATTGAAGAATGCGGGAAAAAAGAAACCGTTTAATTCCATAGGTGTGTTCTTTGTTCTTATCTCACACTTTGTCTAAAGTGCGACCTTGTTACTTTCCCGATGCGCTGGACATGTGTTGACTAGAACAAATAATTCAACAAAAATTGACCCTATAGACGTTCGATTAGGAGGATTCTCGTAGCGAAGTACTTCAGTCAAAGTGTACCATTTGTTGTTTCTCTATCATACATTCGAATACTGTATCTTGCAGTGGCGTACCGAGCGCGTCCCCCCCCCCTTCCCCGAGAATGGGTCGCGAAAATTTTGAAAGTTACTCAAATGTGTTAAAAAAGTGTGAGAACTTGTTTTTACTTATAAATAGTTAAAATAATTTTCAAAGATTGTTGAAAATTTAAATTAGCCCTGCAAAAGCACGCCCCTTGATCCGAAAAATTTTTTGTCGCCTCCCCCCCCCCCCCCCGAACGGAAATCCTGGGTACGCCACTGGTATCTTGGCATGTGAGATCTGCACTCGACGCTATCAAGTTTTCCCTTTTTGCCATATACTTGATTTGCTGTCCAAAAGTTTGCTTTTTTGTGTATACGTCAACATGCGATCAACATGCAAGACGCTCCGAATTTGTTGGTTTTGGTGGGAGAAAAAAGGAAAGAAATCAAAAAACTCTTCCAAGGGCTAAGCATGTTAGAATTCATTCTTTTTTGTAGTCACTACTGAGTTCTTCAACTTTCATATTTGTGAGGTACAAAGTTAAATTTGTAGCATTTGCAACAGAAGCTACACCTTCAAAAAGGGAAGGGTTGTTGCGAATTCTTTTCAAGCTGCGTCAAAATCCTATCCATTTTAGAAAACAGCAAAGTTTAAGCTGAGTCGGTTCACGCATAAGGAGTATAAACCACGCACTTTTCTTACTGCACAAACTTTGAGTTCTATATAAATCAAATTTATTGCTGCCGTCTCTTTACAAAGCCACATTATTCAGGGGTGCAAAATAAACAACAATAGCTACAAAACTAAATCAATTGTCAAAAATAGTATAGTTGTAATCCCAGACGACTAGTGTGTTATTGGCCACGTGACAGGTTAAATTAGCAGCCACACAGAATATCAGGATCTGTCCACTGTACAGTTGAAAGGAAGTGATTTCTGGATAGGGTATCATGCTGCATCCGTATCCATCCCAGTCTTTCAATTTCTGAAAAAAGTTTACTCCTGCCTCACTTTGGTGCTGTTAACCAGGATATCATATTTGTTATGATGAAGTTCGTGAATAGGGTAACTATCACTTTATAAGTGGTAGTCATCCATTCGCAATAACCCTCGCACAGCAGTATTTGTGATCCACTCAAGCCATGCATAAAAGCGACTGCTTTTTTTGTTGAAAAAATATGCTCAAAAATCCTCTCGTTGACTTCAGGCGCTAATTCATTTCTGGGAGGCTGCCGCTATACTTTTAAACGAGCAAAGCACCCTTTCGATTGATATGCATCAAATGCGTGTAACACCGGCAATTTTTTGTCGCCGATATTGACGATGGCAATCAGTAGCTGAAATCGGCGACTGAACTTCATAGCTATTGATGTTAACAAGTTATCACGAGTGAAATCGAAATGTATCAGTAGTGTAGTCGCTCGAACTAGCGACTGCCAGTCGCTACCACTCGATCGTCAACTGCTACTATTGGCAGACACCAGTATCGATTGAACATGCCGTAATTTAAAGTATACAGTAAGTATCGCATGGAAGACACAGAATACTGGCGACTGGACCGCCAGTATTCTGTGTTTTCCATGCGTATCGATTCGCCAGTGATAGCGACTGGCGATCGCCAATCGCCGGTGTTGGCGACGTGGGGTGCTATACCCCTCGTAAATTATAGCGCCTGCTGGGGACGCGAACATCAAATGATTTGCTCTAAAGAAAATACGTAGGATAGGGCTTTCCTCAATATGATTCTTCCTTGCAATTATCGTACCAAGCTCTGCAATTGCATGTTCGACTGCAAGATTTGCACTAAAGAGATTCTTTACTGATATGCATACTTCGATGCCCACCATGTTTTTAAGAGATGAAAGAAAACCTACCGAGATTTTTCGTTGAAAAAGGAAAAATAATATTCGCTTTGTAGATCATCTAATAATTTTTCCCACTCTGTGGGTAGTTTATGCGGGAGCAGCGAGAATTTGTCTTCGAACTTTTTCATAAATCTTCGAGAAAGATTGTACGCCGCAGATTCGAGCTTGACATCATAACCCTGAACAAACTCAATTTTGTTGCGGATTATTGCTCTGCACGCTCAACAATGCAACAAAAAGGAGGTAAAACGCCTCTGTTTATGGGCCAAGTGAATTCCTAAAAAAACATCCAAAAACAGACCGGAAATTTGATATGCCTAAACGCTGTTTCGAATTCCTTTTGATAGCACTCATCAGCGTCAGCAAAACCATGGCATGTTCTATTCTACAATGTCATATTTCTCTGGGAATATATTAGGTGTCTTTAGGCGACCCACCTTACCACATTGCTGGAAGTAGGAAACAGTCACATTTACCTTGTCAGCATTCGAACCCTTGAGTCCGTAAGTCGTTGCATCAAAAGTTACATTGATAGTTTGAATATTAGGAGTTGCATTGACCCCGATAGGTATTTGACTGAGGCTGATTTTGAGTTTGCGTAGAGCCTCGCAGACAGGGTCCGGATTTTTGTTCCCTTGCAATTTTCTTCTTTCCTCGATTTCCTTCCTCATGGGATTTTGGTTCTTTTTACAATGTTCAACGTCAGCTTGCATAGAAGCCATTGTGATAATAGAGGAATTATAAAAAATGAGAATGGTAGAAAGCTATAAATAACAATCAAATCTGCTCATTATTTTCCGATGACTTACCGCATAAATAAACAGCTGCAACACATCCATTGATGACGTTGCCATACTCTGCGTGTGCTTCATAAGCTCTAAGCACTTCATTTTGCGAGATCCATGACATGCACTTAGATTGTATCGATATTCTGTGTTGGCAAGACTGTATCGATATTCTCTGTTGTTATTTTCAACTTGCACAACATGATTACAAAGAGGACAAAGTTCTACGTTTTCCATTCATAATCGTTTATCTGCTCCCCCTTATTTCTGTTAGGCCTCGGGCAAAGTTCACGCGATTTGATCGTCGCGATTAAATCGCTACAAGACAAGTGTTACGAGTTCATTACGTGCCGATCTTCTCATATTTCGATTGTGATAGTCAGTCACAATCGAAATCACGATTAGTCGTGTTGGAAAACTATCGTAACCGAAATGCAAGGAGATCTACATGCGACGATATTGTTGCAGTTGTCTTGTCGCGATTGATCGCGACGATCAAATCGCGTGGACTCTGGAGGCCTTGGAAGTAGAATGGAAAGCAAAAAATGGGGTTGAGTGAGCTCTTAGGCCCGTATGCACGTACATCCCCGCGGGGAGGGGAGGGGATCTGAGAGGGGAAGGGCCATATCTCGCTAGTCTATGTATCTTTCTTCTTCTTTCTTTGTCTTGCTTCTGAAGGTTCTCATACACTGATACTTGCGCATAACGGATGCCAGGTTACTGCCATACACGATTAGATATTCACTATTTCGTCTGATCCCCTGGGGATCCCCAGGGGATCACCTCACATTTTCAAAGTTATTTATCTTCCTGAAAACTCGATGAAAATGCTCTAAAATTGTACTAGGATATACTACAGCACTGCTAAACATGTTTGTGGTAGAAATGAGTGAAATTTCAAATTATCAAAATCTTCGATGAACCGCTGCTCGCGAGCCAGGGATTAGCGAAAAAATCAAAATCTTCAGATTCCATTTCCTCTGTCGAAAACATGCTCAGCAGTATCATAGTATATCTTCAGTACAATTTTGCAGCGTTTTCATTGATTTTCCAGGAAGATAAATGATTTTGAAAATGTGAGGTGATCCCCTGGGGATCTCCAGGGGATCGGAAGAAATAGTGAATATTTAATCTTGTACAGCAGTAACCTGGCATCCATTGTGCGCAGGTATAAGGGTATGAGAACCTTTATAAGCAAGATAGAGAAGAAGGAAGAAAGATATCTGCAGTAGCGAGATATGGCGCTTCCCCTCTCAGATCCCCTCCCCTCCCCGCGGGGATGAACGTGCATACGGGCTTAGACCTCAAAGGCAGTGTACGGGCAAAAGCCTCATTTCTAGCGAACTTGCTTACCTGTTATCCGCAGTGCTGAATAGGATCCACATTAGAGAGCACAAAAACCTTACTTTTGACTGAAAACACCCTCTCCAGCTGGCCGGCTGACCACTGGCTCGTCGTCGCCCGGTATCTACACGGTCGCGGGCCATATCCCTGCGGCCGCCAAGAATAGAAGACTGGCGCAATGAAATGACATTAGGAGCGCTTTTTCCCCTATTCGGATTATTGCTCCGCCTTATAATTCCAAAATAGCCATAAATTAGTGTAGGGTGGAGTCTTTTATTGAAATAACAATAACAATAATGCGGGAAAAGTGCAAAGTTGCAAGTACATACACATCAAAACACTTAGCATACGGAGCTAAAAGTGTCCATGCGAGGATTACCAAAGATCAAATTCGTCACTACATAGAGCTCATCCCGAAGTAACCGGAGAGCTTCTTCTATCCTTGAGTTGGGTTTTGAATTTGCGAATTAACAGAATCGCATAATCCGGAAAGAAAACTATGCTTTCGCAGAAAGAAATTCATTAGACACCGCTTACAATTTAGGCACATAGTAATCGTACATCCATTAGTCTCTTAGAGCATTATCACAAGCATCAGCCAATACAGTCAACATTCATCATAGATGCCTCAGCCACTAGAAAGTCAATTCATTCAAAACAACTCAGAAGGACTTCAGTGGCAATAAACTCGACTCACGAGAAAAGTGAACCGGAAAGTTGTAAATGAACGCTTTCAAAATGTTTAGAATGTGATGGTGTCCTCAAAACTATGATCTAGGCGTGAAAATCAGAAAAATTTCATATCCAGTCACATAAATGGCAACGTTCGACTGACTGGTTTATTTTCCATATAGAACCAAAGCACTAGATTCCATGCTGTGTCGCAGCTAAAACCGTATAATCTGTAAAAGATCAGCATCCCTTAGCTGATTGCAAAAGAACGGAATATGAAGTGGCTGTGTCTAGGCCAATGACTTTAAATTATTCACATCCTCTCGTCTTCGCAATCATGAACAAAGTTTTGGTCAGGTAAACAATGATTTCGATATAATCGAAACAGAAAATTTGCTATTTGTTCCTTCGACCTCTACTACAAGCACAGTGATACAAGTGCCGTTCGATATATCTATCTATCTATCTATCTATCTATAATCACGTTCCATTAATTCAAAGATATAGCTTATAGCAAGTATGAAAACATGGACTTACAACTCGCACTCTATTAGGTTGAACCGAAAGTTCTGTCGCACCATTTTCAAAAAATCATAACTTCTTTCGGTCACAACGATTTTGCGCATATCAAATTTTGTCTGAAAGCATAAAGCATTTCGTTTCCAAAAGCTCTCTGGGAAGTTTCCGACATGCTCAGGTGGCAGAGATAAAAATGAAAGAATAAGACCATCTGAAATTTTCAATTTTTAAGCAAGAATTCTAGAAATTCAGAAACTGTGCGAAAAAATCCAGAACAGCCATCATCTTAAGTTTTCTTACAACTTATCAATAACTGAGTCAAGTTTGTGCTGATCGAGCCCTTCTTTCAAAAGTTATGATTTTTTGAAAAATAATGCCGAAAAATCAATTTCCTAAGAATTCTTAAGAAATGGATTTTTCGGCATTTTTTTTCAAAAATTCATAACTTCTGAAAGAAGACCTCGATCAGCACAGACTTGACTCAGATAGTAATGAAATATAAGAGAACTTAGGATGATGGCTGTTCTGGATTCTATCGCACAGCGTCTGAATTTTTAGAATTTTTGCTTAAAAATTCCGGATTTCGGATGATCTCGTTCTTTCATTTTTATCTCTGCAACCTGAGCATGTTGAAAAGTCCCCAGAGGACTTTTGGAAACCGCATACTTTACTCTTTCAGATAAAATTTGAACTGCGCAAAACCGTTGTGAGGGAATAAAGTTATGATTTTTTGAAAATGGTGCGACAGAACTTTCGGTTCAACCTAATATAATAACATTGCCGCGTAAACACGTCATTACTGATCTTAGGACCCGTCATACTTCGCCGAAAAAAAGCCCAAAAAAGCCGAAAAAGCCCAAAAAAGCCAAAAAGCCCGAAAAAGCCCAAAAAGCCCAAAAAGCCCAAAAAAGCCCAAAAAAGCCCAAAAGCGCCAGAACGCCCACTTCTCGAGCACGACTTTTGGCGCTGGAACATTAGTTTCGGACACATGTTGGATGCCAGAACAACTAAGTTCATTCACATTTATCATGACAGTATTCCGATCACACTCACTGTCGCTTGTCCAACGCGTCTTCAAAGCTATTTGCATGCACACTTTCTTCTTTCATTCTTTTCCTCAATCTTTTTACCGCTAGTAGGATACGTGTACAAGTTATCTACTCATGCATATAGTCGTTGCTCGCACTGAGAAATCTTGCGACCTAGCGGTTAGCTGAGATAACTTGATTGATAAAACTGTGGTTGTTGTCATCATCATGTTTCTGATTTAAGTTTTCAAAAGAGAAGGATTTTTTATTAGGCTATCATCGGTAATCAAGTGATAGGACCGGCTTGCGAACACAACACACATGCCCTAGCGCCAAAACTTGCAAGAGGCGTTCTGGCGCTTTTGGGCTTTTTTGGGCTTTTGGCTTTTTCGGGCTTTTTAAAGCTTTTTTGGGCTTTTTTGGGCTTTTTTCGGCGAATTATGACGGATCCCTTAGACTTGAGAACATGACTCAATAAAAGTAGGGAAAAGAATGTTATTCGAGTGTTAACCAAGTTTTGCAACTTTTTCCATAACCCCTCTCGTCGAATTTGACGCACTAAATGTTGCCATTATGTAGGCAATGACAAAAGCTACAGGTGCAGCTACTTTCGTCAGATTCTGATGTCGCAGTAAGGGTTATGGTAGGTATGGTGTAAAGGAAAAGTTATGAATTAGGAACTGGGAAACCTACGGCTCCGTTCAAAATATTCGCAAACAGCATGCTTACTTTCCCCCTATGCTAACTTCCTGCCCCGTAGCTCGTAGCAAAAAATCGCTAAAATTGATATCGATCGATACGAAAGCCTACAACACCTGCCCAGCCGGCCCGGATCCGTTTCAGAAATAAGAATTATTCGGAACATGCGTACAGACAGACATAAAGATAGACATACACCCAAACAGACGTACGGCTTTATAGCGATCCTACTGGTCGCTGTAAGTGGTTCAAAGCACATACATAACTTACAAGGAAAGTAAGTGACCTTTTCAAATGGAAGAGCACCAAACGCTGATTCCAAATTTGGGGCGGTATGCATCAATCTCCCGTTTCGCCCGGCCGTGTTGGGCGCCCGATCCGTGATGTCCAAGTTATAAGAGTATTTTATTTAAAAAATCGAAAACGCAGCTGAAACAAATTGTCCAAAGGTGCTCAAAGGTTCCAATGTATATCAGAGCATGCATCCAATGGATATCTTCAGTTTAGGCGCCCAAAAGATCCTAAATAGCTGCGTTCCTTTCGCTCCACAAAACGCTATAACTTGGCGTCCAGCGACGTAGGCAGATAATGAAAACAGATTCATTATCAGCGTCCACTAATCTTCGAAACTCTAGGATTCATTTGGAAAGGTTACTTCGACTAAACGGACTTCCT